CAACCCACCCTGCAACAGGCCTCGAGTATCGAGGGGGGGACTGCTAGTCATGTATACTGAAATTATCACGGCCGCGGTGGGTGTGCATGTACCATATGATACTATGAGGGGGTTCTTTTCTTCTTCTGTGATGTTGTGTCATACCGTTGGTTATTGGGATTCCTTACCCACCCACTACACTACCTCACTCTCTTGGGGTTGTTTGTGCCTGGTGGGGGTTGAAATTGTGGTGGATTATCGTAAATTCGATGCTTGGTTGGGATGGAAAGGTGGAAATGGAAATAAAATTATACTAGAAAATCACACAACTGCTGAAATCCCGAGCGAGGAGGGTCTGGCTGATCCTTGACCGTGTGCTGTAGCGGTCCGAGTTTTTTTTTTTTTTTTACCTTTTTTTTTACCTTTTTTTTTTCACAAACGCCGCCACGCCACGGGTGTGATGTCAATCGTACTTACGCTACGGTATAGCCTGATCTGCCATGAACCCACCAGAAGCCGTTGACCGGATGTGGATGGAGATGTAATCATAAGAGGGGAAGAGAGAGAATGTGTGAGAGTTTGCGTGATGTGCAGAGAAGAGGAGGAAGAGGAGAAGAAGAAGGACCCGATCTAGGTTTAAGAAAATACACAATCGACGCGTGGCGCTGCGGATAAGAGTATCGTGGGGCCGCCTTGGCTATTCTTCGGCGGTATCCTCATCCATCATACCAAAGCCTTTTCCAGGTCTTTTCCGACCGCCCTCTAGTCTCAGCAGGTTTGCTACATATCTGAGACCCACTTGCTATTATGGAGGCTTGATTGATTGGCACTTCCCGCGACATGGGATCCTATGGCGGAAGGCAGCAGTACCCGGCATCAGACACTATAGTGCGAGATACTGTTTTCCGGTGTCGCACTCTAGGGCTGTAATTTGCGGTACGGTGCGGTGCTAGTGGTATATGATACGGTAACGTACCATATCATTCAAACACTGGAATAGAGCTTCTTTTGGAGCATTTAAAGGATGGATGCCATACCCCATGTTAATCGGAAACTGGCTTGTGGGGTTGTTAGCAAGGTATAAGGTGTTTGATTGCTGCCCCCCCTCCTCCCGAGCTCTGTGCCGACTCTGGGAGAAGACTACCGGTATCCTCATACGACTGGCGTTTAAAGATAGCGAAGAGGGGGAGAGAGGGGAATTGTGGGAAATTGTGGGAAATTCCTGTACCCCCATTACATGGGTCGGACACCCAGCCCAAATATCCCTCGACTTTGGCCTTTTGGTGCAGCTCGCCTATAGACATCCTAGACCCAACAATTGCTATTGCTCGCAAGCCCGGGTTAGTGCGGTATCCGGCTTATCGGCCGCTGCATTCTCCCACCCACCCAGTGGATGGGCAGGGGCAGCCGCTCGCCGTTACTCGGGTCTTCACCTCCTCCTCCCTTGGCGACGTATCGTACGTGAGACCTATTTGCGGGTATGGTGCTTAGTTAACTAGAGCAGGACAAGAGTGGTATTCATACAGGGGGATCAAGGGTCCTTCTGCAGTGCCCAAAGCGAAGGAAAACATAACGGCGTAAACCGCTATAAGCACGGGAGATCACGAAAACGGTATACATACGAGAGACAAGAGCCACGAAACCCCGCAAATATCACGAGACAACTCAGCTACAAAGTACGGGCAAGCGGCAGTAGTGGTGAGCTGGAGCTGCGATTCTAATGTGTTAGAAAAAACTTTTTGCACTGAGTTTGTATGAAGGGATTAATCTGTTACCGTTGCGTCTCAAAATCCCCTCCCCCTCATCTCCTGCAGATCTCCTGCACTCCCAGAGTGCCTCAAATCCTCAGGTGCCGCATAGCCTCTGCACGGATTTCATGTGGGGCTTATTTTAGGGGCCCGTTGGGGTTGTTGTGGCCAATGCGGTTATTTGGTGACAATGACAAGATCACACATTATCACTCGTATATTCCGGCGGGATATCCCGGTGCTGAGAGTAGCGGAGACGGGGTCATGGCGCAGTTGGACTGTAAAGCAGGGGCTATGAATTTGATGAAAACTCTGGCTGCTGGGGTGGTCGTTGTTCGCCCTGGCTGTCAGTTCTCTGCTTTCCGTCTGGTTGAATTGGTTAACCCGTGTTCTATCTATCCTCATTAAAAGTGGAAAAAGAAAGAAATCATCTACATTTTTTGTGGTTTATAGGATTAAGGTGCCCCTTGGTCCAAGCATCTAGCTCCTCCATTAAACGCTCTGAAGGGATGAATAGAGGAGTGGGACAGGGGGCAGATGGTAGACTAGTTTGATGGTGGGAAAGCAAATGAGGAAAAGTAAAGAGAACACGCTGAGCTTTTAAGTTACACACCACTGCCCATCTATATCATGACCCTATTACGGACATCTGGAATTCCGCTGTCTGGGTAGTGAATGGAGGGAAAACGACGGAAAGAAGTGAGTAATATATGAAAGGACAGGAAAGGACAGAAAAGGAAAAAAATGGCCCCACAAACTGTGCTGAGAAATAAAGAGGAGAAAAAAAAAATGGAGAGATAAAGGTCTCCCAGTAATGTCAGAGGAACTACCGTGCCACCCTCTTATCCCAACCCCCTTAAGTGCAGACTGACCAATTGGTTCCATCGCACTTCGTAAGCATGCATAGAGATCTCGGGGAACCGAAGATGGCTGGGACGAGACCTCAACTACCGAAGAATACTACTTCTCTCGATTGCCTCTAACAGCTCTGGTCTGTCCATCTCTTTGAAGCACCGAGTAGCTTCCTCGTAAGTCATCCATCTTCGTCTTCGCTTGTGCATTTCAGGCCAGAGAGTTTCCTCCTTCTCTACCTTAAACTCGAAGAAATAGTATGTAGTGCAAGGGATGATATTGTTGTTCGACTTTGCCGCATCAAGGACGTCCTGTGGTCTTGGGTCTCGAATTTCTCCAAGATTCCGGGTTATTTTACCGGTTATTCCTGCTTCTTCCCATGCCTCGCCTATCATGAATTATAAAAATAGGTATCAGCCAATTTCCCGAGAAACTGACAAGAGAATATTGAAACAAAGGAATCGAGTGAGTTGGGCGGTAATGGCTCGCTTGTGAAGCGCAATTGTGGGGAAAGAGAGCAAATGTGATTGGACCTCTCAGAGGGAGCAATCGTGCAAGGGAAGGAAAAAGAAAAGTAGGGATGAGTTGGGATTCACTTACGACTGGCGGCGTCCTCCGGAGTTGGCTCATCAGTTTCATAGCCGCCCTTAGGCAGGACCCAGTGATTGTCACGGTTTGTTGATTCGACAACGAGAACCTTTCGTCTATCGATGGATATTGCCACGACTCCGGCAACAAGGCGGGATCCATCAGATGCGTATCCTAACAACAGTGAATATTGTGAGCCGGGAAACCACCTTATTATGATACGGTAACAAGGAGACAAGCGGAGAGGTTGAACGCAATTGACGAGAAAAATATACGTTGAAAATGCTACATACGTTGTTTGACTCTCCCAACGCGGGCCTGAAATGCTGTTTCTCAGTATATGCACATGGGGAGCAATAAAGTTTCTTGAACAAGAACCGACCTCCATCGATCGACTTTGAGCCATTTCAGTTGTACGAGGCTCTCAATTACCGGTAGAGGTGCTGAAGTCAGAAGAGCAGATGGAACAAATGTTGCAGACAGGTGGCAGGTGGGAGGCAGGATTTTTTTTTTGATGCTAGGAGGTGGGATGTTGTCCTTTTCAGCGGGACTTCACAGTTTTCGTGCCGGGTTTGCTAGGGACCGTTGGTCTGTGGGGATGGAGAGGAAAAAAGAGGCTTGTATCAGAGGGGGCACGAAAGCTTAAGCAAACAAGAATAGGTTTCCGGTCGAACGGATATGTGGACGTCCGAAATGGCGCAGCAAGGCCTGGAAACCCAACAAACCGACGGAAGCCAGCACAAAGCGGTGTGTTTGTTTATACGGGAAAGTCAAACCCAGTGATCTGGTGAAAGGGGGAACGAAGCGAGAATAGTTTTAGAGGTTGAAGGGACAAAAGATTCTTTCCTGAGGGGCGATCCCTGGTGTTGGTGGTGGTGACTGAAGGGAAGAAGAAAGGTACCTTTAGATTTTATATATGGGTAAGGGACATGTGTGCAACTTTAAACTTGACAACAAAACGAACATCCACATGTTGTCTCTCTTTGACTCCTACAGTGCTCTCGCGGTATTTTTTTTTTCTTTTTCTCTTTCTTTTTCTTTTTTCTTTTCTTTTCCTCGATTTTTATTTTTTCCCCATTTATATATTTATCCTCCTGTCCTGTAACCATACTGTCCTTCTTTGGGTATCATACACAACTACTACTAGATGCTCCCTTCCTGCAGGCATGGGATAACTAAGTCCGTCCTGAGCGAACACCCGATCTCAGCGGAATAAGGAACCAAGATCGCTTCGCCTCTCTAGAATTCAGGGATCCGCAGTGGTGTTATCCTTAAAAAGTGGCGGGGGGAACTGGCTTCATCATTTCACCGCCGTTCACACACCCGCTAGAAGTGGACTCGGGCATCAACTCCCAATTAGAGGAACGAGCGATGATGAGAGCAACATGCCGAAAATTGATTGGAATGGGGACTCATGTAATGGCAGCAAAGTATACAGGGGTGAGAGAGCTGGAAGCAGGCTTGATGGAGGGAGGAGTGCGTGAAAGGGACAGACGGAGCGAAAATGGATTGATCATGGATGCGTTGGGAGCTGGGAGGCAAACGGATTCGGAGTGGTGATGCGAGGGAAAGAGGGGCAACTGAGCTAAGGTCTACCTACCATCCCAAGGCGAGGGGCACCGCGGGGTGAACAGCGATAGTCTAGTTCTCACGTCCTTCCTTCAACGAACGGGGCCACGCGACGCAGCAACGACGAGACATCAGGGAAAACTGTTTCTTTGTTTTTTTCTCTCGCCCTACTCGTACCGCAACCTTGACCCCGAATGTCGGTGCCATGAAAGCGTCGAGGGAGACCTTCCCATCTCCACAGTATTCCTCGCCACAGCTCGTCAACCGCTGTGTCCCGCTTCCTCTGGTCTGTGCCTTATGTGCGATGCAATATTCTTTTGCACTGTGCGTACGGGTACGAGTACAGTACAGTATAGTATAGTACAGTACACCTATGCGTGTTGGACGTGTATTGTGACATAAGGGTGCTCTCGTCTATGTAACCGACCAACTCTGTCCTTCAGGTGTTACCCTCCCTGTGCGGACTCGAGATACCGAGGCCGCTGATTCGACAAAAATTCAGATACTGGAAGGAATCCTCGCCGCAAGGCAGTGAGAGCGAGGGAAGAGGAGGCACGGTTTGATACACTGGTGATTGGCATGATAGCTGAAGGTTGCAAAACGTGCAAGGTGTAATGGTTTGTACTCGTAGAAGCTCATGGTGCTTGTGATACTCTCATGATGCTGCAAAACCTCATTTCGATCCTCATACCTAATCCTACATACCCTACAACAATATCATACATCCAACCTGTAAACATCTACCCTCACCTGTCTCTCGTCTGTTTCCTTTTTCCTTTTTTTCTTTTCTTTTCTTCTTCTTTCCCTTTCTTTTCTTCTTTTCTCCCCTTCCCCTTCCCCTTCTCTTCCTCAATACCTCGCAGCGGGGCACAAAACGGCAAAAACCCACCTCCCGTCTTCTCTCGCCCATTCATCTCATCGTTGTCCTCGCCCTGCCCTCTGTGCGGAGGGCATGTACGAGTACCGTGCTGTACATCCTGTCGTCTGTGTTGGGTCCCTCGTATCATTCGTCATCCAGGCAACCAGCCTCTCTGGCGGGATTATAATCTCTCCCACTCTCTCCCTCACCACCACCCTCTCCCATCTTCCCCCTCTTACTCATCCCGCAGCTCACTTTTGACTGACCTGTTTTTTTTGCAAATATCCTGCTGTCCCTGCTGATTTTTACTCGTTTGTCCCTCCCCAACTCCATCTCTTTTGGATCACCCCTCTCAGAAATTGCACCCGCCTACACTCTTCCTTATCCAATCCAATTGATTTGCATCCAGCACCCCGCGACAAATCGGAAGCTGAGCCCCCCACTTCACAGTGAAAGGCACCAGCGTATGCAATGTCAATAGACGCACACAATCCTGTCACCCTCATCTCATACATGGGTGTGTAAATATTCTCTGCTCTTGTCGAATCGTTCCACCCCGTGCCTCTTGCGGCCCATAACAGTTGTTTGGCTTACGGTCGTTGTTCCCGCTTCTCTCTCCTAGGCTCTACGAGACATGGTAGATGCGGCTACTGCACGAAATCCACAAGTAATTATCCCTCCCACGCTTTTCACACACCCCACCTCCCCGCCTCGTCCCTTGCCGCAAATGTCCAACGCGTTTGCGGCTCTTGCTGTTGTGGAGTGTTTGGTTCAGTGTGAGAACGGGTTGAGTTGACGAGGTCTTCAGGCTGTTCCTTCTACCTTAGGTCTTATGATTTGACTGTTACCGATTACCAAATACTCCTTGACCGTGGCTGGAGACGGTGGGGGGATTCCCAATCTTGCTTTCATGTTACCTGTAAAGGATTGTGAAGCAAATGTTACCTTATCCCGGACATGCTGCTGATGAGAGATAATGTTTACTCCCGTAGGAGCGGTACTTTGTTGTATAAGCCGCATATGACGCTTAGCTGTTGTCCACAATATACCATACGGTGAGTTATCATTGGGAATGCGGAAAAACGGCCCCATTTCCAAAACCCAATTCGTGCGATGCTTGTGTCGTATGTAGGATTCTTAACGAGACTGGTTGTTGCAGAGTGGATGCTACCACAATCAAGACTTCCAGGGACCAGCGCCAGACTCTTCATAAATGGTCGAGATATGTCCTCGGCGAAAGTTATGTTCAAGAGTGTGCGAGCAGATATCCGAGGTCCAAAGAGTACGTTGAAAGAATGAATGATATTCACCAGAATGAAGAGCCCCATGTGCCCTGATTTCATCCGACACATTTTAGTTCTATGTCTGCTGACAGGGCAATTTATCCATATGCAGGGAGAAAAGGAGGCAACAATCAGAATTTAACCTTGTTGAGACTGTGCATGGACCAGAATATTCTACCCTTCAGGGGTTGGAGAGAGTCCCCCCGGAGCCTGCCCACAAATTCGAGGTTAGCCTGGAGCCGACGGTGTTTACCGAGGAGAAGTAAGTGTCAAGCTATTTCTTGCTTGTGCGCGTGATGGAATCATTCTGGGTCGGCCCCTAGCCAGCCTTATCCTTCCTTAATGTTACTGTATTCGCTTTACCACCCTACTCCCTCGTTTCTGACACTATTCGGAGATATGAATTATACGAGAATTACCAGCGAACTGTTCATAATGACCCTGTCTGGCAAATCACTCGAAATGATTTCACGAACTTTCTCTGCAAGTCACCTCTCAAGAACACTACCACGCCTACCGGGATGAGGCTGGGATCCTATCATCAATGTTACCGCGTTGATGGTCGATTGGTCGCGATGGGCGTTTTGGATTTGCTCCCGCACTGTGTAAGCGGTGTGTATTTCATGTATCACGAAGACTACCGTGCATGGGGGTTTGGGAAGTTGAGTGCTTGTCGGGAGGCCGCCCTGGCTAGAGAAGGAGGTTACCAGTACTACTATATGGGTATATAAAACCCCTTGTTGGCCCTCAGATTTAGGGTCTGCGACCCGGACCTGATTTGATTTGCAAACCTAGGCTTCTACATTCATAGTTGCCCGAAGATGTGGTACAAGAGGGAGTATGGCCCATGCCACCTCTTGGACCCGGAAACATATGCTTGGAATTTGTTCGACGGAAAGTTGGAGAGACTTTTGGACAAGCATGGCTATGTTGGAGCGTCAACAATTCGCTTGCATGGCGCTACGGAAAAGAACGACGTTTCTGAGAAGGCCCCAGGTTCGGCTCCGTCAGGGAACATGATTGAGGCAGGGGATCAATATGAAAGCGAAGAGGAGGACGAAGATGTCCCCCCAGGGTTTGTTTTCAGCACGAAAATGCCCGGGATAATGACAAAGCGAGAAATCGAGGATTTTGATGCTCGAACCCTCAGATTCCAGTTGGCAGGCTCAGAGATCACTGCAAAGGTAAAGTTTCCTATTCCCGCCTCAGACCCTGTAGTATCTAATCGCAATTTATCCTAGGAGCTCGAGGAGTTGGATCTGGCTACCTACATAGACGTAGGTATGGAAGTATTAGCTACGGTTGGTCCGGATGTTGCAAGGTCAATGGTTCTATTGTGTGAGATATGTTGAACAAGGCAGGTGTGACAATTTGTAAGGTAAATTGTTGTATCGGCTCTGAGCTTGTATCCAGTGATAGGCTGGCTAACTCTCCCAATCTCCGGGGGTGTTATTGTACACTATTGCCTTGGGCAGTCATTTCCACGACCTCAAGACCGCTAGTAATAGGATTCTCTTGTTGCGCTGCGCGCTAACGCGGGTGTATTTGCAGGGTTTGGGATGCTGCTCGGGTGCATAAAAGATTCTGACTACCGTTACAAGGAGGTGATGGACCGCTTCGGGTATCATATGCCACTGCTTGGTAATTACATTTTCTGAAATAGGCCGAGTGGAAATGAAATGCGTCCGAACCGGTTACCAAGAGCACCAATTCCTGCCATAATCTGGGGACACGGAACAACCGTGAGCCTTGAGTAAATTCCGCGCCTCGTTTTCTCCGGTGACAAGAGTAGTCGCTGTATCATATATGCTCGCGGGCCAGGCAATGTGAGCACACATCGGTGGCAATTCCCCTCCAGACCTGACGGTGCTGCACAAGGATAAATGCCTTATCAGCTACTCCCGGGGGATATAGAGGGAGGACGGTAACCACCGAGTGAGGCCCCATGATCCACCTTTCTGGAAGGAGCTATGCTCCATAATGGCCGATTTCAAAAGCAAAAGCAAATAAGCTAGATCACCCTCACTCCTGCGCTATTCCGTGCCGACGCAAGGCTACGCTCCACAGCGAGTGAAGTGGTAGCGTACGCGCATCTTGGGTAGGTAGGTTGAGTAGATACGTTTATCAAGATCGGGGCTGGCAAAGCCCGTAACGTATCGATCACTAGGCTTGGTAAAGTAGCGTAGCCTACCCTGCCGGCACGGCGACAGTTCCATCGTATGTGCTCGCTCAGTGGGAAGGATGTGAATTGTGTTTTGTGGTCCATTTTCAATGCGTGGAACAGGGGAGGCATGTTCTGTACGAGTGTGGGCGCTCGGACACGCAGAGATTTTTTGCTGTATGTTTCTTTAATCCCTGTTTTCGAGCATTCCCGCCCGGGGCGAGTAGCGATAAGCTGAAGCGTTGAGGGCTGCGCCATCTGACTGGCCAATCTGGACGTGTGCTCATAACTCATAAAGTCGCAATAAACTCCCTTCTCCCCAGGATCTGGGGGCGGGAGAGGTCGGAGAGGTAGGGGAGCGTGAAGGAACTGCTGTGGGTGCCGTATGCCAATCCAAACCGTTTGATCTGATCCGGCGGTATTTTGATTGCGGAATCTTTCGGGAGGGTCTCAGTCGGTCATATCGCTTGTTTAGTAGAGCCACGCATCGTCAGAATCCAAATATGGTGTTTTGCTCTCTCTTTTTCTCTTTCTCTTTCTCTTTCTTTTCTTTTCTTTGCTTTTATTTTCTTGCTTCCTTTTCTTTTCCTTTTTTCCTTTTTTTTTTTTCCTTCCCCCCTCTCCTTCCCTACGGTACGGTAATTTATTCTTCATAGTGTTTACTTTTTTCTTGTCCCTGTTTTTAATGACGCAAGATCTACGTTGCGCCTCATTGGTCCTCTACGTGAAGGAGGGAAAACTGGGAGAAAAATTCAATGTTGCACGCCAAGATTTACGTGTGATTTTTCGTGATTGAATGAGGATGGTAGGGTTAGGGGTTGGTCTGTCTTCAAGGGATGGCTTGGCAGTTGTTCGGAGGCCCTTTTTTCTTTTTGAGCCTCCTCAGAGATTGGGACCTAAATTTCCTATCCCTGTCAGCCTTAGTGAGAGCTTAAAACTATCTGGACAAAGACCTTCGTCCGACCACACACACAACGACTGCCTTCATCATCGTCACTCAACCACCAACCAAACAAGATAAGGCCGGTTTTTTCTTTTTTTTTCTTTCTCACTCCGCATAACTGGATAATCGACGGACATGGATGATTACGATACTATCTACGGTTCTGATCGCGGACGTATGTTATCCTGACCTCTTTCTGCAACGCCGGGGTGGGTTAGTTATTGTCCTGTCTGTGGCTAATTTTGTGCGTTCATACAGCTCAGATTACCATCAAGGAGGCAGACAGCAGGCATGCGCAGATAGTGCTTTCTAACTGCGATCTTGCGTGCGTTTCCCTTTTTTCTTTTCTTCTTCTCTGTATTCCCTTTTCTTTTGCTTCCGCCCGATGCTAACCAACCGACCCGGAAGCTCGCAGTTTCGCAAATGCCCTTCGCCGTATTATGCTCGCTGAGATTCCCACTATTGGTAGGTTTATTGGACAAGTCGCTGCTTGTGTGGTCCTTCGTGTATGTGGGGGCTAACGTTTGTGTGTTTCCTAATGTAGCAATTGACATTGTGGAAATTCAGACAAACACCTCCGTCATTCCGGATGAGTTCCTCTGCCATAGACTTGGAATGGTTCCGCTCGACTCGACAAACATTGACGACAAGTTAATCTACACGCGCGACTGCTTTTGCGATCAGTACTGCGAGCGGTGCTCAGTTACTCTGTCGTTGCATGCTAGGTGTACTGGCGAGGATAATGTTACGGTATACGCGAGGGATTTGGTCGTTGCGGAGGGAGCGCAGTTGGGCAGTCCTGTTATCAATGGTATATGCCCTGTTTGAGGGAAATTGTCTGAATCGATGTGTGTGTCAGAGGAGGAATGAGCTGGGGAGATTGTGGGCTAATTTTGGATTGGTGCGATTAGATCCTGAGGGACAGGGAACCGTCGTTTGCAAGTTGCGCAAGGGGCAAGAGCTCCGGTTGAAGTGTATTGCAAAGAAGGGAATTGCGAAGGAACATGCCAAGTGGGCTCCCACGGCGGCCGTTGGGTTCGAATATGATCCTTGGAATAAACTCAGGCATATCGATTACTGGTATGAGGAGGACGCAAAGGATGAATGGTATGACGCCTCCATTCCTCAAAATTCACAAAGGCTTGCTCCGATAATCTTGGTTCATGCTAACCTCCCGGGAATTACACAGGCCCAAGTCCAAATATGCGGACTGGGAGGAGCCCCCCATCGAGGGCGAACCTTTCAACTATGACGCGGTTCCTTCCCGCTTTTACCTCGATATCGAGTCCGCTGGATCCCTTCCGCCTGATGAGATCCTCCAACAGGGCATAAAATATCTCCAGGAGAAACTCGCTGCCGTGATCGAGACCTTCAGTAACAAGAATGAGACTGGCGATGGGTTTGGCGACGGCGTCAGGAGCCCCGGGCAGGATTATGCAATGGGTGGAATGGGCGGCGGTGGAGCCGGCTACGAGACTCCCTATCAGGGTGGGCGGACACCATTCGGGGGTGGTGGGTTCGGTGGCGCTACCGAGTATGGGGGATCGGCTAATGGGTGGTCGTGAGTGCGCTGCTACGGCAGCGGTGGTGGGATAGTTGGAGTGGGTCTCGCTGTTGAGCTTAACTTTCTCGCTATAAAAGGTTGTTTTTTTCTTTTATTTTTTTCTTCTTCACATCTTTTTCCCGTATCTTCTGCTTTTCAAATTGTCGGTGTGCCACTTGTACATTTGAATGCCTTGTCGTGTACAGTAGAATAGCCATCCACCTACCTACGTTGTCTTCCGTATTCAGGGACAGCATACCAGAGCATAAAATCATCAGGTTTGCAATCAACAACTCGGTATTAAGGGGCGGATATATGAGTTAGATGACTAATCCGGGGGGGGGTATCGCCGCCTGCCATGAATGCATTCTTACCCAATATCTCATTTCCACTTTCCTTCCTTCCAGCCCCGGAGCCAAGTACCGTAAGAACTTGATTAATTGGCACTCGTGCTACAGTAGGAAGTTGGACTTGCCTTTGCTGGCATTGTCTGGTACTGTACATTTCTGTCATTAGCAGGCTCAGGCGGATGAGGCCAAGCCAAGCCGAGCCGAGTCGAGTCAAGCCAAGCCAAGCCAAACCAGGTTATTACATTACCGGTACTCGAGTATACACGCTCTGCATCAGAGTCGAAACCGGGGCGGATGGAAGAGCGAGCAATCAAGTAAGTTAGATTAGGCAATCAAGCACGAGTACGATACAGTACTCGTACAGTACCAGTACCGACACAGCACCGTAAGCAATGCAATGTGTTGTTGGAGCAAAGCCCGAAAGAACGCCATTCCATGGTAAACCCGTCCTGAAATGCGATGCATGGGTCTTATTGTTGATACGAGCCTGCTTTTTGCACATTCCTCATATATATATATATAGATACACGGAGGGGAGTTTTAATGAAGGTGAAGTATCATGCGGGTATGATGAGTATGATGGGTACTTGTGAGCATCAGATTGGATCGAGCTTGTTTAGGTTCTTCACTGGAGCGAGGGGAATCTCCATACCTTTTATGATATACTTGTATGGATGAAGTCGGAGAGGGAGGGGGTGGAGGGTCCGGTCCGGTCCGGTGAATGGGTATCATACTTGTGCTCAGTGCGGTGGTACGGTACTAGCTAAGCCCCCCCCCCCTCCCCCCTACCTTTCGAGATGTCGAGATGTAGAGGGTTAAATCGGTTAGGACTTGTTGTGATTTTATTGGATTTTAAGAGTGGTTTTTTTTCTTTTTCTTTTTTCGAAAGGTTGGGGATGTTTCGTCTTTATTGCGGTGTTATATCATAGTCTTTGAAATTTGCGTTGCGCCGTAAGAGAGGAGGATATTTCGATAGGGTTTTATGAATATCGGAAGATCTTTTTATGCATACTACCGGTATGTAAGAAAATAGGGGTTTGGGTGGAAGGTGGATAGGGGGGGGTTGGATTAGTATTGTATCGAGCTGTGATAGTAATGTGATGGAAGTGGCGGAGGAGGAGCTGTAAGAACTTAAAATATTAAAATAAAATAAAAAAAGAGTGAGATTTCGGGAAATGTTGTGTTTTCTATTGTGGTTTGTTTTGGTTGTGGGTATTGGAATGACTGAACGATTCGAGTTGATGCAAGGTAATATAGGACGTGGATAATTGTAGATGTGAAGAAAGTTCGTGTTATGAAGAACTAGAGTGATAGAAAAGACTGAGTTTTATGATCTAATATGGTTTTGGGATGGTTTTTGCTTTAGGATTTTGAAGGTGAACTAAAGAATTTAGAAGTTTTGGGGGGATATGGGGGTCCTGATAGGGAGATGTTGTTGTTTGTTTCAACTTTTTTAAATCAAGTTGTAGATTGCTTTTGCCTTACTGCCAGATTCTCTCTACTATTTAATGATATATACTATAGTCTAGGCCCTTAATATTTATCTGTCTAAGATTTGCCAGTAGGTAGTGATTCCAGCACATACCGGTACTAGTGGCCTTCACGTCACAGAACATAGCTGCTCAAATCCCCTCCGGTTCCTTAGAGGTACCACTACCACCTCTCAAAACCGCACCGGGTACCTATAATTTTGTTGGTCTAACTTGCTAAGCCTGTGCTGGTTTGGGCTGTGGTTTCTGTTGAGATCTCCGATAGTAGACTTAAGAAGCAGGTTGGCTAATTTATCACAGTCCAACTAACAAGGAGAAACCCTCGTCCTGGGCCTTGCTCTCTTAATCGGGCTGCCAGATGGTGGGATCACATTTTTGAAAACCGTTGCACAGTATCTACATAATAGCTGGGCTATATTAGTATTACTTATCGTCTGGCTCATGCTGTACTGTACTCGCAGAGCATCCGTACCGGGTTGTACTCGAATAAATACCTGTGAAAGCACTTGTTTCATGGGCCAAGACAAGAGGTGTCCCGTCCGTGGGGCTCTATACGTTTGAAGAGGTAGGATCCCAGTATGATACAGTGCCGCAAATTGGCCCGCCCTCCTTGACGGAGGGGAGGGGGGTGGCTGTGGTTGTGTCGATGCCGGCTATGCATCGTTTCTCGGGAGGGACCCTCGGGTTGCATGGGTATGGTGGCTGCCGGCATCTGGTCTGTCCGCGGCGCAATCGATCCACGGAGCGAGATGGGCACGAAAGGAAGGTGCGGAGGGCTTCGAGCAAGCCCTATGCTGACCTGCTTGCTGGTGTGTTACTCGAGCACCACCCGCGCCGTACCGTGTCTGATGCTGATGCAAAAAGGTATCACAGGCTTCGGCGCTTGCGCGTGCGAGTGCCCCTGCCAGACCGAGATGATCTCGCCTTCACTTGTAGCTTTTACGGGTCTCCGTGGGGTCATGATGCGGGAGCGAGCGCTAATCTCTGTCCCGGGCTGGACTAGGGGTTCTGCGCTCCAAGATAGTACTCGAGCATACTCGAGTATGATATGAACAAGGTATGATATGATACTCCGCTCTGGACAGCGTTGCCAGTGGTCGGGCATGATCCGGTAGAGCTGAATTACGCCCGCCTCTCCGCCGGTGGGGGCGGGGGAAAAAAAAAAGAGGGACCTTTCCCCATCCCGAAGGGCTACCGGACTGAGCACTCCGAGCACAGGTATGATACTCGGCTTGATGGTCAACCAACCGATACCGGTAATAGCGCTGCACCGCCAGTGGGATTCAGTATGTTATGCGCAGATATCCGCGGAAGGAACACACGCACAAGCATCCCAACTCCCTCGCTCGCTTCCTGCGCTTTCCGATGCTTTGCTTTACTTTCCCCCACCACACTGTAACCTATCCACCGAGAAGGCATACAAAACACTGCCAACCTCAATCCTTTCCCTTATTTGCCCCTGGACTCTCCTACTTGTACAACCATCCAACGCCCGTAACCCATTCATCCCAACTTTCCCAAAAATATTCCCTTCCACAGTATCATACTGCACGAGTGCAGTATCATATCCCCACACACCGGTTCACAACGTACTTCACCTCGAGTATCAGTATACCGTATTCTCCTAGGGATACAGCTCCCCCCTCATCTACAACCCCCCCCGGTACAGGATTAGAACATTCCGGCCAGGAAGAAGAAGAAGAGGAAGAAGAAGAAGAGGAAGAAGAAGAAGAGGAAGAAGAAGAGATGAATAAAGCGAGACCTCCCCCCCGCTTCCCCCAACCGTTCACTCTTTTGCTCGTGCACACCTGTCCCGCCGTTACAGATGTGCTGACGACGCCCAATGTCGAACCGTCTCGGCCCTTCAATGCCCTCCAATGCCCCTCCAATCCACCCCCGTGACAGCTGAAGATATAAAATTTGAAGAATACCCTTTTCCTCCTCGGCAGGCCGATTATTCTGTTCCGTTTCGCTCCTTTCTCCACCATATTCTCCCCTTCGGGGAAACTTGTCTGTGCTGGGTGCGTTTAGGCTTGCATACATACCTTCTTGACTTTCGTTTACTGTTTTTCATTCACTTTTTTTCTCTTCTTGCGTGTGTACATACGTTCTTCGTATTTGTGTGGGAAGCTGCTGGTTGGAGGGCGGTGATCTCGGCTGAAAGCGAGTGAGCGGGCGAGTGAGGGATCGTGGCTCAACGACTACAATGTCCCAAGCCGATGTTCCCTCTGCGACATTATACCGGGAGGCTGTGGCCTTGGCTATCGGAACGATAGTATACACTACCGGGAGCGCGGCGGCAGCTGTCTTTACACATATACTGTATAGGTTGAACGGGAAGCAGGTTGTTTGTTTGTCTCCCCTCCCCTTCCCCCTCCATCCTTCCTCTCTACGGGACTAATACGGGATAGACGTATCACTCCTCTCCCTCTCAATATTCCTCCAACAGATCTTCACAATAGCACACGAGATTGTGAATCTTGTGTTATGGCCCACCTTGCAGATGCAGGAATACAAGGCCAATCTGAGGGACTGGAGGAATCCGAATGCCAATATAGCGTACGACACTTCGCCGAATGTTCTGGTCAAGGTTCTTTTCGCCATTCGTGATTACCCCCTGCTTCGCGCCCTGGAGGAAGGGTGGCTGACCTGTGGGGAATGTCTTTATAGGATCCTACTTCTTCAACGTCGAGAGCTTACTGTTCTTCTTCTGGAGTCTGATGCTCTTCGTCTCCGTCTGGGAGATACAAAGCCGAATGCTGAAGTGTGATCGGTTCATCGCGGGGTCGAAATGGATATCCTTCCTACTCCCGGCCGTGCAGGCTATTCTCTCAAACTTACCTCAGGTGAGGAATATTACAATATTACGTGTTGTCCTGTGTAATTACACGGGTATGCCTCCCCCCCCTCTAGTCATCGCCACTCCCCGCAGTGCTGACACATGATATCAGTTGTCACAACCTGCACCTTGGGCTCCATATTCCTCCTTCTAATCCTCGCGCGCTGCATGCATGTAATGTGGAACGCAAGCTGGACTCACAAGGTACAACAGTGGCGACCCTACGACCACAGCCACCACCCATCCCCTTCTCAACCACGCCCGAAGACTGCCCACTCGACGACCTCCTCAACAAGCACCGCGACAACCAGTGACAACGAAGACCGCTTTATCCTAGTCCGCTTCGTCGCGGGATTCCTCGTGATCGGCAGCATGCAAACTGCATTCCTGCTCGCGCAGTACTACTACGCTAAGGATATGATAAAGCGCAGGTCCCCCTTCGCTGAGGAGCCACACTTGGGTATGACAGCGAAGCAGCAGTTGGTGGACTGGGCTTACTTCCTCGCCTCCGGCTCGACCGGGTACCTCATTCTCATCGCGTTCGGTACCACCCGCGAGTCCAGGAGACAGGTGCGCCGCATCGCTGCAAAGATTAGAACCTTCTTGTGTGGCCGCAGGGAGAAGGATGAGGAGTGGGTATCGTTTAGGGCGGGCTCGGAGAGTCCTGGCGGTGATGGTGGGTTCGCGGGTAACGGGAGTGGGGGGGGGGGGATGATAGTGATAGTGACGGTGGTGATTCGTATGGGAGCGATGGGGGGGGAGAGGAGGAGAGCTCTACCGCCGAGGCCCATGACCTTTGTTAGCAGGGATACTCCTCTGGGAAGTCCTGGCGAGTCTGCGGCGAGAGAGAGTCCGGCTGGGTTTTCCGTTGTGGATTTGAGGACACCCGCAAGGAGTACGCATCGGGAAGAGCATGTATAGTTTTTTATAATATTTCCGGGAGATTTAAGAGAGAGAGAGATGGAGACAGGGGTGGAGAAGTATGTGTTACGTCTGGGAGTTTTCTCTCTCTTTTTTTCCCCCCCTTTTGGCACGGAGGGCGACGCTCCTGTAATATGAATACAGCCTTCCCTGCCTTTTTTTTATATTTTATTTTTTACTATCACTCGCTCTTTTTCTCTTACTGCACACTTATCATTGTACTTGTGCTCTCGGTCATACCATCGCCCTCTCAAATATATCACCATAGATCACTCACTCACTCAGTTCTTTCATTCATTCTATTATCCTTCCTGTATTCACAAGCTACCCACACCCAGCTGCTGATACCCCCGTTCCTTGCATGCACCCATAACCAGAATTTTCTCCCTTCATCTCGTTTCATTCCCAATCCAGTCACAGCACTTTTTCCCCACCCCCCTCCCGAAACTGTATCTAACATGATATTATTATTATACTCTATCTACTAATTCACCAATCAACTAACCAACCAACCAACCAACCAACCAACCAAAATAAAATAAAAATAAAATAGACACCCATAATGTGAAATGGCTATCGGATAGATGGAAAAAAGTATCATAATATTATCATGACAAAAGAAAAATGGAAAAATGGAAGAAAAATGGAAAAATTGAAAAGAGACAAGGAAAAAAACACTACTAGTAGTCACTCCCAAGCATTGTCATAATTAATTCATTATTTACTCTATTACCCCATGACAATCCTAACATCCCCGACCGCGACTCTAGCCGCCCTCTTCAGAAAGGCCCTCTCGTCTGCTTCTCTGTACCTCTCCCATGCGTCGAGTCCGTCCTTACTCGTGATGGATAGCGTTTCGTACCCGCTCTTTATCACTTCTCCCACTTGCTGCGGTGATAGGTTCTTCGATTTGGTCCTACTCTGATTCTCGGATATGAGGGCGTAATAGTGCTCCGACACGGCGATGAGTGTTGAGATGGAGTTTTTGGGGCGGGAGGTTAAGTCGTCTACTTTATCAGCCACGTGCTGTGAGATAGAGGGGAAGGGGGGGGTACAGCAATCACGGAATTTAACGAGCGTGTCACCGGCTTCCACAAGTTTGTAGAATAAGTCGTCGTATTCGGCTGCGTTGGGGAGGAATGCGTCGCCGGCGGAGAGAGCCAGGGCGATTAGGTTTACAAGGTCATCTAGGAAGGGTGGGAGGTCGGGAAGGTCTTTGAGATCGGATGAGTAGCTTGTTAGGAAGCGGATTAGGGAGAGTATGGAACGCCAGAGATCTGTCCAGTGATAGCCTTTTCTCAATATTGGTTAGAGAAAAGTCCAAGTGGATATTATGAAAAGGGGGGGTACCAAGCCGGGTCCTACTACGAATCAGGAAAGATATTGATCGGGAGAGTATGCCGACACTTGCGCTATTTTTTTTGGGGGGTTCATGGTTAGTTTGGTTATTCCGATGCCTATTACGCATCCTTCGCCTTCCGGAGATCTCAGTTTAGTTTGATTTTAGTCTGCATACCTATATAATTCCACATCCAGACGTTTTCTCAAGTTGTGGTTGATGCCGTCGACGACTGCATCGATGATAGCTGTTAGAAGAGACCGCTTCGAGCGAACGACTGGTAAGTGCGGAGGTTTCTGCCTGCAGAGTCTCACGAACGACTTTGTCTCGTCGCTTGTTAACCGTTTGCAGAGAGACTGGTCTTCCAGGAGGATGCGCAGAACAAGAAGGTTTAACCGGGCGTATAAGCATAACCGGGAGGAGCGGTGAGCGTGATGCAGGAGGTAGGACGTTAGCGATATGTAGGAACATATGGGGGACTCGACTGTATGGTGCCGGGAATCGTTAGTTGGTGGATGATAGGTTGGGTGCAGGTTTTGACAGACCTTTCGGGTCGGAGTCTTGGTAGCTCACAAAGTTATGGCAGAATAGCTTGTTAGCGTTGACAAAGTCATATGTTGCCAACAGGATTGCGGCGCCTGGTCCTGGTCTGCGGTAAGGCCCAAAATGTGAGCACCATGTACACATTTGATTGGTGTGCAAGTCTGGAGCACTTACAAGTCATTGAAGGACAGCTTCGGATCTGCAGCAGGGGTTGGTGCGGGTGAGGTCGGGCGGCTCTTAGGACCAGCACCAGATAGCATGGTGAGCCCAACATAGGAGAGGACATTATTCAAGGACCATCCCTCAGGTAGGTCGTCCTGAATGGCTATGTAATCAGCCCGGCACCGAACCGAGGAGAATCCGATCTCCTGAACGATTCTCTTGATAGTGGGCTCGTTGACAAAGTCATCCAACCTCATCTGGTACGGATTCTGGAATTCAAATTTATTATCTTTAATAATTAGCGTAAGTATTTTTTTTTACCACGTATAGAAGTAAAACATACAGTTGGCGAGTGTAGCGAGCAATAGAAAGGGCTCATATGCAAGCCCGGCAGTCTCGGGGTCATTGATATACTACATGAATGAAAACCAGTAAGTCAATCATTCCGGAAGCAAAAAATAAATAGGGGTGGAGAGACTCCGAAGACAGCATACCTTCATAAGCGCAGGGAAGAGGTCTCTATGTGTAAAGTAAGAAAGCAGGCCAGTCTGAAAGGCTCCACAGGCTATGCACAATGCCACTTGGATGGCTTTCCGCCGTACCTCGACTTTACCCAGCCGCCCGTTAGACCATTTCAAATCGACCATCGCCCCCGAATGCCAACAATACAACATACCGGTCCGACCATTCTTGATATGGGTGTCCAGCGACGTAACAAAGTCCGTAAACACCCAGTCCACTTTACTCAGTCCTGTCAGGATAGAAATGATGTCTGAGCTGAGGTTGGTGTATCGCTTAGCCAAGACGGCCCGTAAGAACACATTCAATGTCTAAACCCCGCACGCATTAACATCGGACCTTCCTTCAGCTTTGCTGGCGAAAAATAAAACGGGGCCCCCCCACATCTAGCGCAATCTCATCCGAGGGGCTACCGCCGGACTTGACGCAATTGACTGCGTGTGAGAACAATTGCCTTGTTTGGGGCTAGCACCAATCAGTCTTATGCCCTCGCCCGCCGTAGTAATAGGATTCCCGTTTGTTCACCTGCATGTGCAATAAGTCGTCCGGGGATATAGGGTCGAGTATGGCTGTTAAACCGGGCGGGTGGCACTTTAGCAGGAAGAACTCTGTCCAGAACCCCTCTGACTTTTCCTGTTCGTCGTCCTCATCCTAAAATGTATCCTTAGCATCGCTCAACCCGAGATGGTGATAGGGGCAACCGCTACCTTAAAGAGGTTTTCGTATAGGGAAACGATCTTGGGCTGGAAGCTGGGCCGTGGGTCATGGGTGAGCGGGGAGGCCATATCGTAGCTTTGGGAAGCTATCTAGAAACGTTGCTTCTGGGAAAACCGGATCGCAGGAAAGCTGTGGTACTGCAGGGACTAGGGATAAGTTAAGAGATAAGCCGGGGCACGAGTGAACGACGGAAGTTTGCAGGTTGTATAGAGGTTGGGTTAAGAATGAGAGTTGAAATTAGAATAATAGGGGTCTGATTGTCGATCCAGGTGGGTTTTCCGGGTTGCGGACTGAGTTAATCTGGCCCGGCCCGATTGAACACTCGGATCACAGGGGCAACCGGGGGGGGGGGTTCGGGCAGAACCTTGAAAGGCACGCGACTGGCTCTGTGCGGCGGCACCAGAGGTCGAATAACTTCTTGAGCGTAGTAATACTTACGATCGTACTATGCAGTAATATCCAACGAAATTTTAACTTCCTTTATATGCCGATTCTATGCTATGCTGCCGGTATTATTTAGTTCTCTAGGAGCCTCAAAATAATCGAGAACCCCGAGATCCGTGAAGATTCCTACCACGGGTATGCGCTATCCTGTACCGGCTTACAAGTTATCGCAGATCAGGATTCCTGACCGTCATGGATTGTTATTCACTTGCACCCCACTATGATCCAAAAAGAGAACCACGCCGGCACATCACCGTAAAACTGCCGTGGTTAAACTCTGTGTCTACAAGATTTTTTTAATTACGGAAGAAGAATTGAATTTTAGTTTTACCGTTACAAAAATCATAAACATGCGGGTGTAAAACAATGTACTTGGGTGCGGCATTAACCATCACATTGGGTCTTTTTCCGGCAATGAGGATGGTAAACAGAAGAGGGTAAAAGTAACACCCAAACCGAAGATTTGCGCGGTTTGATACTGATGATCTGGGCATCACAACCATACGCTACTTATTCGGGGGTCGCCCGGCTCATCTCTATCAACCGTTTTACTCCGGGCATCCAGATGTTGCATTCTGAAGTTCGGTTCGTTACCAAATCCACCTGGATGGAATGTGCTGTCGTGTAGTCCTTGGCAACGAGCGCTATACCAGAGCGTTAAAAATTGGTCTAACAGAAAGCGGAAGGTGAGTAAACCTTTTGAGAGCTCTAGCATACTCTCAAGGGCCTCCTGGGAGAGAATATCTTTGTTGTTAATATGGTCGTAGAGTATATTCAACCTCTTCTCGGTGTCTTTGACTTGACGTTGGAAGGCAGGCTGAATTAGATATACGTCAGTATTCTATCAACTCTCTAAATCCACTCGGAAGGTCTAGAAGGGGTGTGCGTACCGGAGCACGTTGCTTGACTCTCTCAAAGTCGGAAGTTAAGAGTTCAAAAATGGGACGGTACTGTGAAGGAATATGTGTTCGGTCACCCACAGCTAGTATGCGTGTTAGAATAAGGGCCCTCTCCAATTACGGGATACACTTACGATGCTTAGATGGAGGTGGGACCGGTGTCTGTGTTTTTGGTGGTGGGGCGGTCTCCAGCTGAGTAGGCTGAGATGATGGTCGTTGGGTTGGCGGAGGTCCGTATTGGCCGGGCCCCGGGGCTGCGCCATACTGACTGCCCTGGCTGTGAGATGGTGCTGGTGCATAAGGTGATGGCGCTGGCGGCTGACCGAAGGTAGTTGGTGGAGGTGCGTATTGAGGCCCCGGCCCGCCTTGCCTTGCACCTACAAAAGCCCCCTGAGGAGGTGGAGGTATCGTCTGATTCTGGCGCGGTTGTGGAGCTGCGGCTGCGGCTGCGGGGGCGGGGGCGGGGGTATACCTACTCGCCGCCGCAGTCGGGGGGGGAGCACTAGCATAACTAGGTTGCGAAGGAGGGAAAGTCTGTGTAGCCGGGGAATAAGGTGTCTGTGCCTGCGCAGCTGGAGACTGGGATCTCAACTGGTGCTGGGCAGGGGACTGAACCCGCTGTGGGGGCGCAGCGTTCTTTGGAGGAGGGGGCACAGAAGATCCTCTGGGGGGAGGTGCGCCAAAAGGCATAGATGCCGTTGGCGGCGAGGGTGCACTTGGAGCGCCTGGGAAAGGTGAGGTCACTGGTGCTGTCGCAGAGGGTGTCGCACGGCGGGGCATTTTGGTCACGTTAGGTGTATCGTTCCAATTAACCATATTAGATGCCTGGGAAGGAGGTGGTACCGAGGCAGCGGGGCTGAAATTTCGGGGAGGAGGAGGCTGACTAAAGCCAGAGGCACTGTATCCTGGATACCCGGTTCCATACTGCCCAGAGGCTTGAGTTGGCTGGGTAGGTTGATAGGGGCTCGGCTTGTATCCCTGAGTCACTGTCGGGGGAGCATAGGGGTTCGCTCCGGTTGGCGGGGCGGGTGGAGCATAAGAACCGTGCTGTGGTGCGGATGCCGGTGCGCCGTATGGATGAGCAGGAGCTGCCACTGGCGCTGGTGGTGCGTAGGGATTGGCAGGGCGAGTGGTTGCGGTTGCTGACTGCTGTGGTTGGTATGTTGAGCTAGTTGGTTGGCGTTGCTGGGCACCATATCCAGTTGCAGCGGTTTGCTGTGGCTTGCGAGCTTGTGTTGTAGTGGCTCCCTTCCCGGAAGCTTCCTTCACCCGGTTTCTAGCTACCGTGGCTGCGGGATAGTTGGTCGGGAGAAGATCCAGATATCTCTCCGCAACTTCTAGCTGTCCATAAGAAGCAACTACGTCCGCGTATTCACAATACTTCTCATAAAGGACATGGAGCTTCCAACCGCTGGCGAGGCTCTTTTCTTCGTCCGAGAACTTGACCGCCTCCCGGAACACAGTAACCTTTTCAATGAAGTTTTGGAGAGAGCGGGCGTGGACGGCAAATGTTGAATCGTCAGAGATCTCTTCTAAACCAGTCTTCTCATCCTCATGAAGCTCTTCAATCCAGATATCAACAACCTTTTCAAGTTTCGAACCTGCCAGGTAACAGAAGGATGCATGCTTTCGGGCCTCCTTTCTTCCTTCTACGAGCCCCAATTCTTGTTCAAGTCTGTCACCCAAGGCCTCGCAAAGATCTGGGAAATCCTTTTCGTCCGCAAAACTGCAAAGAGCAACCATGACCTCTCTCCAATTGGCGAGGTCCGCATTGTGCACTACATCCCAGAGATTCTTTCCAACGATAGAAGCTAGGACACGAAGATAGTTCGGGCCTTTAACATTCTTCGTGAAATATGCTGTTTTGACCTTTTCGATGCACTTTTCTCCTCCACAGATTGCTAGCATGAATGCATCAGATATACGGTCTTCCTTTAAACAGACGTCAACGGCCCTTTCAAACTGGCCCAAAACAACTGCGCGAGTGATCCTTCTGTCCGCCTCAGACTCATTTCCTGTAAATATTTGGAAAGGGTTGTTCGCCCTCGCCCCACGAGTAGATTGAATGGAAGAAAGATCCGCCAAAAAGTTTTCCGAATCGGCGCCAGCATCTGCAAAGAATGATGAAAGTCGTTTGTCCTTGGCATCTGGGCCATCTGACTGGTCCAAGCTCCGGTTTTCGCCTTCACCATTTGTGTTCTTTGTGTCCACCCCTGGGTCTGTAGCCTCCAAATCCTCCTCTTTGAATCCGAGGTACTCAATCAGCTTCTCCCGGGGGTTCCCCTCGAATAACGTCCTAAGAATCTCCCAATCCGCCTTCTCCTCATCGGTTTTCGCATCCTGGCTCCTCAAATCACAGACGTTCACAAGGTTACCTTCCCTCAATGCCCCCTCAAAGTTCTTGGTGGCCGAACTAACCCCGGAATCGACAGCAACGGTCGATATTTTCGCTACAGACCGACGAGGTTGGCCAGACTGAGGCTCTGGAGATGTGAAGCTGACCAGTTTACCGCCAAACCCAAATGATGCCCCCACGGGGGTCCGGAGCCACTTCGGTGGTTGTTTAAGAGTAAATGAGGAAGTCTGAGCGTTGCTTGCTCTGGAGAAGAAGTCATCAGCATCAAGCTGTGCGGCGCCCGGGTTATCGGCTTGGGACGAGGTCGGGTTTGTGTTTTGGAGGGTTTGGACAACAATCTTCCCATCGAATGAAGCAGTAGCTGAAAGGCTCGGGTTCCTGGGGTTCCACTGGGTCTTGAAAGTCCAGTTGGTGACCACTGGGAATTCACCAAGCTTCTCCCCTGTCTGTGGGTTCCAGCAAATTGTTCTGTTATCCTTACCGCAAGAGAGGAGGAGGTCTGTATCTTGTTTGCACCAGGAAAGAGATAGTACACCCAATTCGTGACCAGATAATGTCTACCAATATTGTCAGCTCCTGGGTACGTACGAATTAGGGAAGATTTGCAAACCCGCTCGGGAGCATTTGAGTTCCTCAGATCCCAAAGTAATATAACTGGATTGGTGTCGTCCGGAGTAGCGGTAATGAGTTTTGTTTGCTGCGGGTTGTTAGCAAGGGCTGTTGTAATTGACATAAGCTTAACGGACCTGTTCTGGGTGCCAGGCAACAGCACTGACCGCCTTGCGGCCCAAATTGTTTAATGTGAGTGATTCCTTCCTGGATTTCACATCCCATACTGTCACAAAGCCCCCGTTCCCTCCAGTAACCAAGATGTGGGGAACCTTTTTGTTCCAATCGAGGCAGTCGAAGTCGTCAGCTCGAGCAGCCCTGTTTCCAAGAAGGAAAGGATTTTCGGTGTTGTTGAGATCCCAAACGTAGAGCTACAAAGATGAGTTAGTCATGCTCAGTTTCGTGTATGAATGGCCGGTTCACACCTCTCCCTTCGCACCCGCCGTAGCAAGGAGTTCGGACTTGAATGGGTTGAACTGGAGCGATTTGATGGAGCCCGTGTGCTTTGTTGTCCGAGAAACCAATGGATCACTTGACTAGCATTAGCACCCTGATCACTAAATGACGACCGGGGGGGAACCTGCCCACTATTGCTCAACAATGCATCGGCACTCCATAGATCCAATGACCCATTCTCCAATGCACCGGCAATGATTCCCCGAGGCTTATCATTGGACACTTTTCCCCAGGCAATATCGTAGAATCTATCTTTAGTCAGCCAGCAAACTTTGGATATCATCCACCAATTCTCAGCAACTGCGCTCTGTTGTGACATACCTGCTATCGGCGGTGATCGATGCAACTGGCGCTAATTCACCTCCGGCATGGGCATTTCCGAGATCCAGATCCCACAGCTCCAACTGGGTATTGTCGGAAAAATCAACGGCAACAGCACCAGCTTGGGTGCCCGTCGCAATAAAAGGGGCGGTGTCTGGAGACCACGCAAAAGCGGCTGTCCGCTGGATATCTCGAATTCTGGCCATCCTCTAGATGTGCCCCCTTTCCTCTCGTGACTTCGTTAACCCTTTATATTGTAGACTCTTTCGGATTTTTTTCGGCAGGTTTTCCCACGGAGGTTCTATAGTAGTGAAGGGATGGTTAAGTGAATGGTGGATGTGGATGGTTGTATGAGGTAATAGGAGCTGAAGAGCTATCGAATGCCGATGGTTAGGTGTTCTCTTCTCTGGCACGGAATTTTGATGTGGACAGGTTGGGACAAGCAGCTAAAAAAGATGCTGCGCCACAAGTTCATGGTGGGCTGCGGCGTAAACGAGGCGCGGCCAATTAGGTTTATCCCGGAATTCACAATGTATCACTCGTATCGTGATACGGACTACGAGATAGCTATTGTGAAGATTGGGTTCATAGCAATCTTCCCCGGCCTAGAGGGCCGATAAACCGACAATTTCCCTCGATTGGCTAAGGTGGAGAAAAGATCATCTGGGAGAGATGATCGGATGCACATATTTCTTAGTAAGCTATCCAATAGGATAATTTCAGTCGGACACAATTTTTTTCGTTTCAACTCGGTTACCATTAGATTTATATTCTTTCAGCATAGGTTCCAAGACGGGCTTGGGTTTTTAGCATAAAACAAAGTCCAAAATACAAGGCTATAGTGGTAGCATAAAATTCTACGCAATTAATACGGTTCCTGAAGACTAGATCTAGAAGAGACCAATTTGGTCACGAAAAATATGACAGTCTCGGGTGTTACAGTTTCTATAACTTGAGTGCCCGGGCCTTAGTTTAGTATAACCTGTTTTCAGTTGGTAAGAAGGATAAAAATAGGTGAAGTAAATAGAAAAATAATATATTTATGATTACTCTACCTTAGCTGGCTTGATAGAATCCTGGTCTGTGCGTACTGATATAATTATCATAGTTTATATCTTCAAGTTATTGCTAGTAATACTAGCAAATTTCTAAGTAATCATTCTCAGACATTCATTCTATAGTGAATAAATTCTAATAAGAAAAACTTACAGTATTATATTCTTAAATAATAAGATAGGGATAAAAAATTATTCTACTAGTACTAGAATTAAATACTACAAGTTATTAAATAATAGAAACTTGAATAGAAATTAAATACTATTAACTTTTAAATATTTACAAGGAAGAACAAAACCTATTAAAAACATTATAATATAATTTAGACCCTGCTTAGCATGTTACAGAAATTGCAATTTATTTACTTTAATGTAGTTTTTTTTATAATTTAAATATATTTAAATTAAGCTCTACATAGTATACTATAGAAATTATAGTTTTTTTTTTCTTTTTAAATATTATCACAATTTTTGAAATTGAGAATTTAATCAGATATAGATAAAAATATAATAAATTTAATAGTTTCTATAAACAAAATTTAGACTATAGATACTGTAATGATCCTACATTATAGAGCTATGGCAACCTATGTCTATGCCCATACATAAGACCAGGAGGTCAGATGGTAGACTAGGCAGGCATGCTAGTGCATGTCCGAGGAATATCTAATAGTCCAGGTATTTGTTAAGAATCCTACCAGGTGCTGGGATGTAACAGGTAACGATTCTTAATTCGTAGCGAGGTAATAGTTCTTAGGCCAACACCTAACCAATACTGATAGTCAAGTCCCTTCGACTTCTATCTTATCGCGCCTATTACTCTAATCTTCTTAAGTTCTCACTTAGGACTTATTCGTTAGACGTGGGAAGAGAGACAGTTTTCTCTCCTGGGAGGAAAGATGATTCTTGGGTTTCTTAAGGTAAATCTTAAAGAGCATAAATGTAGGTTTTTTATTATAACTTAAAGGTAGGGAATAAATAAGAAGAACGTGTGAAGAGCTAATACTCAGGGTCCTAGTGACCCTTTATATAGTAGCTCTTCACTTGGCATGACTCCTACTTTACGTCATGTGAACCCTGTGACTCATAACTATGAGTCATGTAAAATCCATCAGCCAACTCCTATGAGTCGCTGCGCAACATACCTAAAACCAATCAAAACATAATAATCAAGTCAGGTGCGCAACTCGCATCACCTGAGTAAAACCCATGACTCATAAATTGAGTCATGTGTGAAAATCATAACATCATGTGACTCACAACTGTGAGTCATGAACAGGTAAACATAATAACCTATAGTGCACTAGTGTGCATTATGTGAAATCCCAATATACCTATAGCTCGGAATTCTGAGCTATATAAAATCTGCCTTACTTAGTTACAGTTTGTAACAGTATTCCAAAGAACAGAAGGTACTTAAGGAAAAGTGTACCTAAGTAGTGGAAGTAATATAACTATGTCTACTCTGGCCCAAGGATAGGTTGGAAGGCTGGGTAAGGTTACCCTGTCTAGGAGAGTCATGTTATTCTACCATGGAGACCAGTTTTGTATCACCATAGACATACTTACCCTACCTTTGGGATACTATTATCCTACCTTCTATCAGAAATGTTCTCAGAGGAATTCCAGAAAATGTTAAGATTGTTTGTTACGCAATAAAAATTGACAGGCACTTGCTTGCATACTGCATCAGGAAAAAAAACTCTTTCTATTTTCTGTCTTTTGTTGTATCCTGTATATCCTGTAATCCTTGCTTGCATCCTGATTTGAGGTTTTGTTATGGCCACTCGGCTATGGAGACGGAATATACATGAAGTTTTCATTGCATATATTGGTTGTGGTTTTCTTGGTTGCATAGTTGGATTTTATTTATATAAGTGGTTGGGATGTATTGCTGCGCAATGGAAGATGGCAGAACTGGACAGAAGGATCGCGGCTGCATGTGGCGCCATGGACTTTCTTTTGTATTAGTGATCATGGAGGATTTCCTTAATATATAAAGGGGTATGTTCCTTTATATTATTTTACTTTCTTTACACAATCTGATAATCTCCTTCGGACACTTGTACCTAGAAATTACACTCTCTATTATCTGGCATCCTCTTGAACCCCTGAACCCTGACCCTAAGCTCCTGAATCCCGAACCTCATACAACTCGCTTCGGTTATACCCCTGCACCTAAACCTTGTCTCCAGAATCTTGCCTGTCCTGATTGTGGTGTGCCTTGAGCTACCCGACCCTCAGACCCTGCCTGTAACTGGAACTGGAGTTCAGTCCGTTCGGTTCAAGGATTTGTTTCATGTTTTGTTTTACTTGTAGTTTTGAGTATGCTTTGATACTCAGTTTGCTTTACTTGTGGTTTTGAGTATTCTTTGATACTCAGTTTGTTTTACTTGTGGTTTTGAGTATCCTTTGATACTCAGTTTGTTTTACTTGTGGTTTTGAGTATCCTTTAATACTTAGTTTGTTTTACTTGTGGTTTTGAGTAAGGAATATATGGGAACTTGTCCATGCAGGACATGGACGAAATCTTGTATTTAAAGACCGCTGATTTCCTTAAAGGAACAGCAGACTTCAATGGACAGAGTATTTCTAATATACTTGGTTGAATGGTTACCTCTTCAAGTCCCTATTCTTTATATCTTTCACTCGGAGCCTCCTTTAGTGCAGTACGCCCACAGGTTGTAGATCAACTTGTACGCTACTCCTATCGTACCCAGAAGTGTGAATAGCACCCTGGTACGAACACGTTACATTTTTTTAACCTCAGCAAGTGGTTAGAAACTTGTGTGCAAGATCATGGATCAACAGACACAGTCCAGCAAAGCTATCACGAAGGCGGAGAAGCCCAGCAGTGGCCCGCCTACCTTACCTACACAATAGACCCTCTCACGATGCGCAGTTGGAAACAGGTCTCCAGAGAAGGGCTAACAAAGCCCAGGAGACCAGGCCAAGTGAAAGGACCAAAAGGATGGATTTGCGATCGACGATCCAGGAAGACAGCTAGCTCGAGACCAGGCAGCTCAGGATTTCAAGGGATCTCAGGAAGAGTTTAGCCAACAAAGCCTATCCACGCCTGGAGGCTTCCCAGTTACTCTCGGAAAGGGAAAACAACCTGGAACTAGCGAAAGTTCATCCAGGCTACCTACAGAAGGAACAGGTATGGCACCTGGCCCCGAAGACAATGGTAGCAGTAGCGATAGCGAAGACAGTATGGCAACTTCAGCAAGAGACCCACCTGGAGGTCCCCCAGGACAATCAGATCTTCCTGGAGGAGGATCCAGAGTCGGTGGCGTACCTGTCAACCCCCCTAGGATTAAACTCCCTCTACCTGCAAACATCTCGGGAAAGGATGATGACCAGAAACTGGAAGCTTTCCAATGATGGGAAACGGCAGTACACCAATACCTAAGGCTACATGGTATCAACATTGAGGAGCATAACTTGGGGATGTATATTGGAGCTTTTTGTGAAGGCAGAGCCCTCAATGCCTACCAGCAATGCATGGACGCATATGGTGAAGGTGCTAGAGCCACGAGAGTGCTGGAAGCATTAAAGGAACGATTCCAATCATCTTGAAATAGCGAAGAGATATTCAAAGCTTTCAACAGCAACAGCCAAACCCATGGCGGAAAGACAGAACAAATCACGAAGATAGTAACAGACCTCTTGCTCTATGCAAAGTATATGCCCCATGGGGCAGTATCAGCCTACATGCAGAAGCGCCGATTCTATGATGCTATGCACCCCCTACTCCACAGAGAAGTTGAGCCAATGGAGGAAGATGATGATGACATCCATGACATAATAAAAAAGGCTGAGCGAAAGGATGCAATATTGCATGAAACCAATGCCTATGGAACAAAATCGCCTCCACCACCTTGAAGGAAATGACAAGACAATCATGATGGACCAGGTCCATTGAGGACAAAGAAGTCTAAATTTCAGAAAAATACAAGGCAATCCACCAAGGAAAAGCGCAGAGAAAAAGGAGAATGCTTTGAGTGTAGAAAAACTAGACATATGGCCCGAGACTGCCCCACCAAGAAGGGAAAAGGAAAGGCAATCAAAAAGGAGCCTGCGGCCAACTACATAGAACCAGACGAATATGAGGATGTGCAGATCAATATCCTGGAAGCCCAGTACTTCCTGATACAGCCATAGTCGGGAAGGAAACCCCACCAAGCACTAGAAGGAACCATTCAAATCAATGGGCATCCTGTCCGAGTCCTTTTTGAGATGGGAGCAATAGGTACGGATATGATCAGCAATACCTTTGTAGCTACCCATGGACTCGAAACTGAGACCCTCTGGCAACCGATACCGGTCTCAATGGCAGTAAAGGGATCCTACTCTACTAG